GGATCTTGAGCTGAGCTGAGATCTTGTTTCAGCATCGCATCTAGAGCCCCCTCTCTGGAGGGATAGAGCCTGTAAGCTGTCCTGGCGCCCTCCCTGGGAGGGAGGCTAGCCCTGAGGAGGGGAGCCTGGCCCCGAGTGAGAAGATAGCATCTGCCCTGTCTTCTGACCTCCTAGGCCTCCCCCACCAGCGTTGCTGTGATGCGGGGCAAGCCCTAGTGGCTTGGCTTAGTGACTAGCTCACCTGTGCTTGCCCTCACCCGTGTTATAGGCAGGCCAAGGTGCTGGTCTCCCTGTAGGTGTTTGGCCTCCCCTTAATTCCCATCCTGTTCCTGGTACCTGGCAACCCTGCTGAGGACTAGCCTCGGAGCAACCATCAGCAGCCAGGGCACAGATCAGCTACAGTCTCTGCCATCATCTTTGCATGGTGAGAGCCACTGAGCCACCATGGTCGGTAGGAGAGCTCAGACCGGGTACCCCAGGCCCATCCCTCTCGGAACCTGGAAGCAGTAGCACCCTGAACTGAAGCTTTTGCCCTGGCCCTTGTCTTCTGGGCTGTCAGCTAGCTAGAAGTGCCTGGCCTACCAGGCTGCAGCTCTCCTCCCCAACATTAGCTTGGCTTGTGTCCACTATCACACACCTTCCCTGTGGTGGGCCCACGTGTGCTGTGGGTCCACGTGTGCTGTGGGTGCCTGGCTTCCAGGGAAGCTGGGACGTGCCTGCCCTGGCTATTTTTACCCAGGCTTGTCCCCACAGAGCTGTGCTTTGGCTCAGTTACTGCCTGCAGAGCGGAGTTGTTGCCAGGGCTGGGGGTGGATGAGCCAGAGCCTCAGATCCTCTTGGACTCCCTTCCTCAGAGAGCAGTTCAACTTAACACCCATTCAAGGGCATAACTAGTGTGCAGCCGAGGACCTAGCTATGGGAAGAAGAGGCACCCGACCACTAGAGGCCAGGCTCTGCCACTTGCAGAAGTTTGGTTCCCTATCCTGGCTCCAAAACAAAAGCCGAACCCACATGTCAGAGGCAAAGCATCCCAGGGGCTTGGACAGGAGTCAGAAGCTCAGGATCACCCTTGGGAGTCTTCAGTGATGACAATAATAATGGTCACATTTGTAGACTTTTCATTTGTACCAAGACTGTGAGTGCTTACTTAATTCTAATCCTATCTGTGGATGGGGAAACTGAAGCACTCAGGCACTTGAGCCCACTCAGAACACATCCACCCCTCTCTCCTTTGCCATGTTTTCAGGTCCTCCTGATGTGAGGCGTTGTCCTCGATTCTCTGTGGCATCCGGTCACACCGGTCCTCTTATCACTTTTACCTGAGGCTCAGAAACAGCCAGGCAGTGATTACACCAGAACTGGCCCTGGGCCACCAGTCCTCCGGTCCCACCTTCCCAGCTTGCCATACCAAGATGCAGCATGCTTACCAGTGCTGGCTAACAGCTCCCACGGCTCCCTGTGGTGCTCTCCCGTGGGGTTAAGATGTGACGTCCCGTGGCTCCCTGTGAGCAGGGAGCGCAGAAGTGCAGTCCCCAGAGTCCGTGGTCTCTGTACATTAGCTGCTGCCAGAAAGCACTTCATCTTGGCAGGTGTGGCTTCATGGCACCTCCCCACCAGGACAAGCTGGTAAGGGCAGAGACCGAATGAAGCTGGATGGCACCCCATATATAGCAGTACTTGGCCCTTTTCAGCCTCCATTGAATTCAGCCTTTGTCAGCTTCCTACAGAGAAAGGGGTGACTCTGTGCTCACATGCTGGCAGAACAGCTCTTAGAACTGGAGATGGCCCCCATGGGCAAGCTGTGTGCCTCCAGGCTCCTGTGTCCAGCTGGGGCCAGCGCTGTCCAGTCCCAGCTGGAGACTGGGTGGGAAAGTGGAGAGGGGATCGAGGGGACTGCTGATGGCTGAGCCAGAATGGCTGAGTCCTGTTTCCCCACCCCTGGGCCTCAGAACTCTGTCCAGTAATCCTGGCCTTAGGTCATCTGCCAGCCCTGGCTGCCTGGCTATCAAGACCTTTCTTGCTGGCTGGGAAGGTGGCTCAGTGGTATCACTGAGGCCCTGGATTTAATTCCTCATAGAAAAAGCCAGAAGCAGCACTGTAGCTCAAGTGGTAGAGCGCTAGCATTGAGCTGAAGAGCTGATGGACAGTATCCAGGCCCAGAGTCAGGTCCCACCACCGGACCCAAAACAAAACAAAAACAAAGACCTTTCTGGCTGACCAGAGAGGCTAGGCCAGGACTTGAGCTACTATAACTTCTAACTCTGGTGTATGTGTAAATTGTCACATGTTCTTGGGAGCAGCCTTAGAGGCTTTTCAGAGGAGAACTCAGAGGTCTCAGAAAGATGGTCACTTGCCCCAGGGTATACACCTTGAGGTACACCCTGAATGGCTGGGTCAGCCAGGACTGAGAACAAATCTGTCAGATGCCAAAGCTTGGATCCCAGGGCTGGCAGAGGGGCATGCTCATCCACTCTGTCTCTCTTTACCTTGGGACCCTGTGGCAAGAGAAGGAGGTAAGCCTGGGATGGTCTGGGTCCCTAAGGTCAGAGCCCTGGGGAGTTCGATTGGATCACAGGCAATGGCTAGGGCCACCTACTGGGGACACTGTTCCTTTCCTAAAGTCTCCCCAAAAGACAGCCTTCCTGTGCAAATTCTAAGGAGACCTTGTTCAGCTCCAGGCCTGGACCACTCTAGACTCTGGGGCCTCTGGCTGGTGACTGGGTGTTGCGTGGATGTCTTTTCACACAGGGGTATGGGGACAAGAAGGGGGAGCACTGAGGGCAGAGTCTCGCAAGCTTCCCTGCTCCCTTGCTTGCGGCACACTCTTTGTGTCTTGGGATGCCCCAATTCTTCCAGTCCTCCAGGAAGGCTTCAGTTCTAGGATCAGCAGGGTGACAAAGGGGGAACCCGACAACCTGGGGGGGGGGCTGCCACAGCGGATTCTATGACCAAATCAGTCTTGGATTTGTCTGGGAATGAGGCTGGCATCTTTTGTCGGCCTGAGTGGAATTTGCCTGACCACCTCAGCCAGATTCCTATCAGCTCCTCCCCCGCCCCGAGCTTTCCTGTGTGCCCCAGGCCTCCTCTGCTCTACCACACAACAGAGTGCCTGGTGTCATACCTAGGAACAGGTCCTTACAAAGTGCACTCCCCTCACTGTTACCCCTAGATCCATGAAATATGGATGCATCGTTGTTAAATAGAACCAGTGAACAGCTACCAGGAAAGGCAGGGCCTGTTACCTACTAGTCAGAAGATGCTGACACAATTGCTCTTTTTTTTTTTTTTTGGTCGGTCGTGGGGCTTGAACTCTGGGCCTGGGCGCTGTCCCTCAGCTCTTCAGCTCAAGGCTAGCGCTCTACCACTTGAGCTACAGCGCCACTTCCAGTTTTCTGGTGGTTTATTGGAGATAGGAGTCTCATGGTCTCTCCTGCCCGGGCTGGCTTTGAACCGAGATCCTCAGATCTCAGCCTCCTGAGTAGCTAGGATTACAGGCGTGAGCCACCAGCACCCGGCTTACAATTGCTCTTAGAGCCTCAGTTTCCCTGTCAGGAAAATGAGTACAGTAATGGCTGTCCCAAATAGTTGCCATGAAACACAAATGGGATGATGCATGTACTCTTGACATGCTCTCTAGAATGAGGCAGTTGCCCAGTACTGCCTATTTCCTTCGGTTTGCAATGGATGACAGCTTTCTGCTTGCCAATGATGAACTTGCATCAGGCGTAAGATCTGATGGGTTTGGACCTATGTGGGGTCAGATCAGTGACCTCTAGGTGGAGAGCACTCTGTGAACATTAGAGGTGGCTTTAATTACTCAATGATTGCTGTTGGTCTCCATGATCAGGGGTGCCTGCTGCCAGCCTTATTGGTCCATGACATGGGTAGGAGCCAAGCATATTATTCACCATCCATCCTTAGCCCAGGGGTCCTGGTGGGGCTAGACCCCAGGATGGCTGCACATGCCTAGGCAGGTGCATCCAAGTGGATCTCCAGATGGCCTCAGGTATTCTGGATTCCCGTTCTTTTTTTGTGGTCTGTCGTGGAGCTTGAGCTCTGGACCTGGGTGCTGTCCCTCAGCACTTCAGCACAAGGCAAGCGCTCTACTGCGTGAGCCACAGCGCCACTTCTGGTTTTCTAGTGGTTTATTGGAGATAAGAGTCTCACAGAGTTTCCTGCCCGGGTTGGCTTTGAACTGTGATCCTCAGATCTCAGCCTCCTGAGTAGCTAGGATTACAGGTGTGAGCCACCAGTGCCTGGCTCCTGTTCTTATCTGAGGCTGCCGGAGGCTTTCTACCGCCTGCTCTAGGATTCTTCTGGCAGTCTTAGGATGAGGAGAAAGCACCTTAATGCACACCAACATGCTGGTGTTGTCTAGCACAGGCCCAGCAGGGCCAGCACTGGCCCCAAGCTCAGAAGTGAAAGGCCTGGCATGCACTTACCTCCCAGGGTGCTGTGCCGCCCTCTGGCCAGAGGCTACAGGAGTAGTTCACTCAGTGGACACGCTGGGCCTGTAGTACTCCGTTATTCTAGAAAGGAGGAAGGAGGAAGGAGGCAGCTGACTTTCAGTGGCATGCCCAGGGTCATGGAGAGTGGATGTCAGCTATGCAGACTTCCTCTTCCATGCTGCTTCAGTCTTCTTCATGAGGGCCGTCCAGTGTTGACATGCACATAGTGCCTCCTCAAAGCATTGGGCTTCCTGCACAGAGTCAGTGATGAGGGCTCCATTGTGCTGTCCAGATCCCCTGAAGGGACATGGCTAGCTGTGACCCTTCTCCATGGATGGCTGTCCCTAGGATGTCCACTTCCTCACTGGACTCTCAGCCAAGTGAGAGGTTCCCAAGATTCTTCACCTGCCAGGCTTTCTCTTCTGTGGGATCCCAGGGTCCGGGCCTTCCATTCTCGCCATCGCTGATCCTGCTGGTATCATGGGTTCTGATGGGGAGCCCAGAGCTTCAGCTAACCGACTCTGCTCATTCTGTCTTCTCTGTCTTTCTCAGGGCAGCGACGTCTCTGGCCCCACCTTTGCTGATGGCGAGCTCATCCCCAGGGAGCCTGGCTTCTTTCCTGAGGACGAGGAGGAGGCCATGACACTAGCCCCCCCAGAGGGTCCCCAGGAGACCGACATGGACAGCCCCATGGAGAGCACCCAGGGCCTGGAGGACTCTGTCAGGGGTCCCACCGAGGAGAAGGAGCAGGGCCTTGGGAGCCTATTTCTGCCGGAGGACAAGTGAGTAAACTGTTGCTATGTGGCCTCCAGGCCAGAAACATGCTTCTTCCTGGAAGATAACTCCAGAAGGTACACGTGACATACACTGTTGTTACTTTCATGGATATTCGGCCTGGCAGAAAGCTTTGGAATTTCAGACAGCTATACAAAGACGAGTTTGAATGACTAATGATATGAGATTCATGATATCAGATACTTTTAAAATCCAAGTTACCCTCAGGTGCCAGTGGCTTACACCTGTAACCCTAGCTACTCAGGAGGCTGAGACCTGAGGCTCGAAGCTAGCCTAGGCTGGGCAGGAAAGCCTGTGAAACTCTTTTATCTCCACTTAACTACTAAAAAGCCAAAAGTAGAGCTGTAGCTCAAGTGATAGAGTGCTAACCTTGAGTAAAAAAGCTCAGGGGTAGTACCCAGGCCTTGAGTTCAAGCCAACAAAACAGCAAGAAGTTATAAAGATGTCATTATGATCTTTATTAAAAGAAGAACACGTACTATCTGTATATAGGAAATACCTAGAAAAATTACTCTTAAAATTAGTTATTTCTTGGAGGTAGATGGCCGATCATTTTAATTGTATCTATACTCAGTTATATAACCTGTATTTTCTGTATTGATCATGCCGACATCAGAAATGGTTTTGGTTTTGTGTTCTTGCAGTGCTGGAGGGCCTTGTGCTTGCTCGGCAGGTGCTACCCAGGAATGTGTTTTTGTTTTTAAAACCACTCCAAAGACTTTGGTGGGACTGTGTGTATAGCTCAGAGGCAGAGCAGTTGCATACTATGATCAAGACCATAGGTTTGAGCTGTAGCACCACAAAAAAAAAAAAAAAGAAAGAGAAGACCTAAGTAAGACCCTGTGACTCTGTGACTTTGCAATGCAGCAGAGTTACCTTCTAGTTTGGTGTCATCAGTCAGGAGTTCCTTCCAGTTCAGCCTGCAAGTTCAGTCTCTGCAAGTATAACGGGCTCACCACCGTTTGCCACCACTGCATCTGGGAAGCCATGGCAGTTGGAGGTGGTTCCCTAAATAGACGAGGAGCGGGACAGGGCACTGATCGAGATATTTGAAGAGGGAAGAGGCGCTTCCAGTGTTGGTTGAACCATGAGATGGCAAACTTTTTTTTTTCCTTTCTTTTTTTTTTTTTTTGTTGGTCGTGGGGCCTGAACTCTGGGCCTGGGCACTGATCCTCAGCTCTTCAGCTCAAGGCTAGCGCTCTACCACTTGAGCCACAGCGCCACTTCCAGCTTTTTCTGCTTACGTGGTGCTGAGGAATCGAACCCAGGGCCTCATGCACGCAGGGCAAGCGCTCTACCACTGAGCCACCTTCCCAGCCCGAGATGGCAAACTTTTAATCCATTTTTCAAATATAAAAATATTTTCAAAGAATAAAAAAAGGGAATTTCATGTAATTGAACCTAACAGGTTTTCTCAGTGCTCATGAGTCAGGATGCTTTTGGCATTTCCCTTGAGAGAAGTCATTGGGGATTTCTCCCTGGGGGGCGGTTTATCAGCTATTCTTCCCTACCTCCCCCACAGAACTATTGATCCCTACTAGCTGATTGTCCACCTGCTTTCTTTTCTGAGCTGGCCTCAAACTTGCTATCTTCCTGCTTCTACCTCCCAAGTATCTGGGATTACAGGTATATACCACCACACTGGCCCTAACTTTTTATTGATACTCATTTTCCCCACTTGTTGCCAATATTTTCCCAAGCTTTTCAACAACTATTTGATAGTCTATAATTTAATAATTAGATTCACTAATACTAATTAACTAATTAACTGGTCCTGTGGTTTTCTGGACCTAACTACCAGGAGGCAAGACAGCAGTAGTAGGTATGGAGGGCTTGGGTAAACTGCATAATAGGAAGAATTGAGAAGTTTGATCAGCAGCTCTGCTGAAGTGCAGAAGAATCCTAGGACACACAAATGACTAAATAAAACAGGGATGAGGTGCCATGAGACTTGGTCTTCAGCACCCTGTCATTAAACTGTGATCCTTAAGTAGAAATGGAGGTTCCTCGGGCGCATGGATTGAGAACTGTCGCCTCCACCCTTTGTGGGCTTCTTTCCCTGCTCAGCTTTCTCGTTTGGAGCGCGTAGGCTCAGTGAGTTTGGGAAAAGTGAAACCTTTGAGTGCTAAGATGGAGAAATAGTTACATGGAGGCTAAAGGCCAGTAGATGTGACGGGGGTGTGTGGTCCTCTTTTTTGTTCTTAGGGTATTTATGGACTCAGTTAGTTCCCAGTGTATCACAGGCCACATCATGGGTAACCCTTGAGAGGCCCCAGAACCTGAGATCTCTGACCCATGTTCTTTGCTACTAGCTATTTTTTTTTACTTAGTAGCTCATTGTTATTTATCATTTCAGAGATGTACATGTTAATTCCAATGTTGAAAAAGGCCAAACATGGTGCCTTATACCTTTAATCCTAGTTTCTCAGGAGATGGAGATAAGGAGGATCTCAATTTGAGGCTAGCTTGGAGATTTCATCTCAACCAATAGTTGGGTACGGTGGTACTCACTTGTTTGCCCAGTCAGATTGTAGTCCAAGCCAACCCAGCATACATTCAAGATATTAGCTCAAAAATAAAAGCAAAAGGGGCTGAAGATACGGCTCAAGGCCCTAAGCTCAGACTGCTAATAAATAGAAAAACCTGAAAAAGATTTTTTTAAAAAAGTGAGCAATGGGGGTAAAATACCCCTATCCAAGTCCTGTTATTATTTTAATATTTGTATTTTGTAGGCTCAAGAGGTAGAGTATCTGCACTGCAAGAATAGTGCTCTGAGTTCAAACCCCAGTACCACCAAGTATTTTCCAATGTTTCTTTCTGTATAGAGCTTACATACTCATTTTTTAAAGTCTCAAAGTTTGGATGGATGGATGGATATATTATTTTTTGTGGTGGTAAGGACTGAATCCAGGATCTTAAACATGCTAGGCATTTTACCATTTCAGCCACCGTACCCCCCCCCACAATTCAGCCCTTTTGTCTGAATTTGGGGATTATTTCTGAGACAGTCCTGCTTTCTTTTCTGAGCTGGCCTCAAACTTGCTATCTTCCTGCTTCTACCTCCCAAGTATCTGGGATTACAGGTATATACCACCACACTGGCCCTAACTTTTTATTGATACTCATTTTCCCCACTTGTTGCCAATATTTTCCCAAGCTTTTCAACAACTATTTGATAGTCTATAACTTAATAATTAGATTCACTAATACTAATTAACTAGATATATGTAGCTGGTTCATTAAGTCGTAACCAGTGTTGGGGGTGGGATGGGTTTGCCATCTCTCCTGCGGGAAGTTTCAGTGGTGAGAGGCTCTCTTTAGGGTGGGGCCCCCAAAGTCAGGCTCCTGCTGCCTGCAGGGCCTCCCAGCTGGGTCTCCACCCCGGCCTTACTAACTAGATGTTTTGGCCTGAAGGTCCCTGGTACACACTCCGTCCATGACGACATCAGACCTCTCCACGCACTCCTCCGCCTCACTCATAAGCAATGAGGAGCAGTTTGAAGACTACGGGGAGGGCGATGACGTGGACTGTGCCCCCAGCAGCCCCTGTCCCGACGACGAGACCAGGACCAATGTCTACTCAGATCTGGGGTCTTCAGTGTCTTCCAGGTGGCCCCGTGGTCTGGGATGATATATGGGGTTCAGGAAAAATGACAGACTAATGCAGCCTCATCCGGGTGGGAGTCAGGGGGGAAGGTCAGGCAGGCCAGATCCTGAACTGACTGTCCATCCTCCTTGCTGAGCACGTAGATCTGCTGCTGGGGTGTGGCCCTTGCATCCTAGTTGGGAGGCATGCCCCTCCCCCTTCCCACATTGGGAAAGAAGCCCTTAACTGAGCCAGGAGGCTGCAGCCCCTCCTAAGGGGAGGAGGTAAAGGCTGTGCCATCTTGCCTTCCCTAGAGCTCAGTGTTAGAAGTCCTTTCAAGGAACCTGTGATCCCTTTCCACCCACCTGATTTCCTCTGACCTTGGCTCTCAGTTTGCCTTCCTGTTGCATGGGTACATCTCAAAGGCCTCCTCTTTGCCAGCACTGGGGAAGGATGCTTTGTTGATTCATTTCCACTCCCCTCCCCAGGTTATTTGCTGTCTTGGGACAGCAAATAAAGTAAACGCAGCGGGGTGGGACATGACAGAGCTCAGCTGGTCAGCAACTGAGAAAGTGACTTTCTCCTCTCCCTCGTGTGGACCAGTGCTGGACAGACCCCAAGGAAGATGCGACATGCGTACAACAGTGAGCTGCTGGACGTCTACTGCTCTCAGTGCTGCAAGAAGATCAACCTGCTGAACGACCTGGAAGCCCGGCTGAAAAACCTGAAGGCCAACAGGTGAGGCCTGGGGCCGCGCGGCAGCCCACTGTCCCAGCGGGTGAGAGCTACTGAACAGGGCTTGCCCTGGGGATGTTCCCCACAATGGGAAATCAAAGTGCTCCTTCCCAGGCCCAGGGGAGGTGAACCTTCTGTGGAGGGGTGCCTGTCCTGCACCCCTGTGTCCAGGCAGAGTCAGAGGAAACATCTGCCCAGAGCTGCTCTTCTCAGTGACTGTCCCCTCTCTGTCTCTCCAGCCCCAACCGGAAGATCTCAAGCACAGCCTTTGGAAGGTAAGGTACCCCTGGGAGCTGGCAGGTTGAGTGTTGTCCCCATCAGCTTGTTCCATGCCACAAACCCAGACCCAGACAGCATCCTGTGTGTGGCTGAATGAGCAGAGGGTCATCAGAGAGGCATGGCAGAGTGGCCAGAGGTCTGCTTCTGCCCTGTGTCCCCTCTTGTCCAGTCGGTCTCAGGCCTGCCTCTGAGATGCCCCTGGTGCCTGTCACTACCGTTTGCTGAGTCCCTGGAGACAGAGCAGGAGTCAGGCTTCTTCATGGAGGTGTCCAGCTGGGAGAGGAGAGCCTCATCGGCCAGCTGTGCACTGGTAGCTGCTGGTGATCAATTGGCCAGGGCTGCCAGGCGCTCAGAGAGGGGCCCAGCAGCCTCTCTGCCACCCCCTGTTGTGTGTGGAGGTCAGGGGAAGCTCCTCCCTGGTTGAATAAGGGCAGGCCTTGGCAGCCTCCATAGTGTGTATGGGATGTACACCCAGCCACAGTCCTGGGTCCAGACCCCAGGCTGTCAGCGCCCATCTATTCAGCCTCCGCAGCCAGGTGCCCTCCCACCCTACAGGCAGCTCATGCACCACAGTAACTTCAGCAGCAGTAACGGCAGCACTGAGGATCTGTTCCGGGATAGCATTGACTCCTGTGACAATGACATCACTGAGAAGGTGGGCCTGGCATGGAAAAAGAAGGGACTCCGTGTGTGCATGCTTCTAGGGGGAGGAAGGGGGGGGGTGTTCCAGACTGCTTTCTGGGGACTCAGAAGACACTTGCCCCTTCTTAGGAGGTAGGAATGGGGGGCATAGATCATGGATTCCACACATACCACACATACCCGCTCTTCTCATGAGCAGTGGGTTGGAGTTGTTAGGTTCTGAGACCTCTAGCCTCAGAGGTGTGTTCTCCTCTGTCCCTGCTGCAGGTGAGCTTCCTGGAGAAAAAGGTGACAGAGCTGGAGAATGACAGTCTGACCAGTGGGGATCTGAAGAGCAAGCTGAAGCAGGAGAACACGCAACTGGTGCACAGGTCAGTGGAGCTGGCTCTGCGGAGGGCTGGAGCCCACTGCTGAGAAACCAGAGGAGAGGACCTCAGTCCCTCCAGCTGTGTGACCTTGACTCCTGATTCCCCACTAGCTCAGCAGCTCCAGGGTGGACCTAAGACAGGAGGTGGGATCTACCTCTCTCTCCCTCCCTCTTTCCACCTCCCCCTCTCCCTGCCCCCGCCTTGGTCTTTTCCTGGAGTCAAGCTCTGCAGAGGGGAGTCTGTTGTGGACCAGTGGGACCAAGGATCGCCTAAGTCCGGTCCTCTACCACATAGGACCCAAAGATGGGCCCTTTTATACATCCCGAAGGTCAGCCTTCATGAGAGACTGGTCAGTGAGCAGTACCCCAGACTGATAAAGTAGAACACTAGTTAGTTATGATGTCCATGAAGGGACCTGGGCCTTCCCGGGTCTGGCATGCGTGGGGCCACTAGCCAAGATGTGCCTATTTTTAGTCCTGATGCTCAACAGGCTGAATTGAGGGATTGTTATTGGAGGGACTCTGGCCAGGGAGGCAGAGCAGAAAGGGGAGGTGAGGCCTGAGGCTGTTCATCCAGCTGTGGCCAGGCCCAGCAGTGGTGCTTCACATGTCCCTCCATCTCTGTGAGACTTCGCTCCTCCTGGGCCTTCTTCAGACCTGCCTCTCGCAGCCACGTGTGACTAATATCCACTCTTGAGGTGTTATGGTGACCCTGATTCTTTGGTTAGCAAAGCTGGTGGGCCTGCAGGTCTAGCAAATACACCAGAACCTCCTTCAGTGGAGTGTTAGAGGCTCTGAGGGCCCAGCGTGTCTGAGTCACACAGACCATGGAGCTTGCCCCCTCCCACCCCCAGAGTGCATGAGCTGGAAGAGATGGTGAAGGATCAGGAGACCACAGCTGAGCAGACATTGGAGGAGGAGGCCCGGAGACACCGTGAGGCCTACAGCAAGCTGGAGCGGGAGAAGAGCACTGAGCTAGAGCTGCTCAACACCAGGTATGTGCCAGAACCTTGCACCGCAGAACATGCTCCCACCCCGGCAGCCCACTGAGCCTCTTATGCTAACCTCTCTACTGCTGATACATTAGCAACACATGGCACATTCCTTAGGATGCAAAAGAATGTTCATAGTAGCTCCCTCCTAGATATTAGGTAAACAACACAAAAGTCTGTCAGTAAGAGAATAGGTTTTAAAAAAGAAACCCATGAGCCCGTGGCTCATGCCTGCAATTCTAGCTACTCAGGAGGCTAATATCTGAGGACTGGGATTTGAAACCAGCCTGATCAGAAAGGTCCTCATGAGACTCTTTACCTCCAATTAACTATTCAAAAACCAGAGGTAGCAGGGCACCAGTAGCTCACACCTGTAATCCTAGCTCCTAAGGAGGTTGAGATCTGAGGATCAGAGTTCAAAGCCAGCCTGAGCAGGAAAGTCCATGAGACTCTTATTGCCAACTAACCACCAGAAAACCAGAAGTAGCACTGTGGCTCAAGTGGTAGAGTGCTTGCCTTAAGCTAAAGAGCTGAAAGACAGTGCCCAGGCCCAGAGGTCAAGCCCCACAACTGACAAAAAAAAAAAAGAGGTGAAGCTGTGGTTCAAAGTAGTAGAGCCCTACCTAGCTTTAAGCAAAATTGCCCAGAGACAGTGCCCAGGCCCTGAGTTCAAACACATTAAAAAGAAAGGAAGGCTGGACACCGGTGGCTCACACCTGTAATCCTAGCTACTCAGGAGGCTGAGATCTGAGGATTGTGGTTCAAAGCCAGCCCAGGCAGAAAAGTCCATGAGACTCTGATCTCCAATAAACCACTAGAAAACTGAAAGTGGTCTGTGGTTCAAGAGGTAGAGCGCTCACCTTGAGCTGAAGAGCGCAGGGACAGCGCCCAGGCCCAGAGTTCAAGCCCCATGACAGACAAAAAAAAAAAAGAAGAGGAAGAAGAAGAAGAAGAAAAAGAGGAAGAAGAAGAAGAAGAAGAAATGAAGGAGGGAGGCAGGCAGGCAGGCAAGCAAGCAAGCAAGCAAGCAAGCAAGCAAACAAGCTGGCCCTCTCCTCAGGCTGAGGCTTAGTCTGATATCCAGGCTTGGCACGCCCTCTGCTGTCAGATCCTCCCTTAACCCTGAACATTTGATAGGTTGAGCCAGGGGCCCACAGCCAAAGGAAATAGAAACCTAGAGCCTACCTGGGTTTTCCATGGGCTCTGGTGCCTTATGTGTATATGTGACTTCATTGCTGGAATTTGAGACAGGCAGGGCTAGAACTTTCCCTGGCTTAGACATCTGGGCTGGTTACTCATTAGCTTACAAGCCTTGGACATGTTGCCATCTCCTCCTTGTCTGTCCCACAGAGCCCCCCACCCCACCCCATGCACATAGTGAGGTTGTATGAGACCCAATGTCACCTTCACTGTGACCAGCCCCTACCAGAGAAGACACTTCCGAGGGTACAGCCCTCCAGTGACTGGGTGGCTCAGAGCCTCTCATTTGAGCCCAGGCTGGGCAGGGAAGGGAGCAGAGCAGTGGCTGAGAGTTGGGGCCATGTGAGATGCCTAGAGGTATCTAGGAAGGCTCTCTCCCTTGCCTTTTGAGGCAAGGCAAGCCTGAGGAGACTGGGGGATCAAGCCCCAATCTAGTTTGGCAAGGAGACTTCCCAGCTCCCCTGGGGCTGAGACCCACTCTGTCACCTTTGTCACCTGATGTGCATGTTAAATTTGGACTCACGCTCTAGAAGCTGCTGTTTGCTTATCTCTGAGGCTGCGATGGCTGCTGGCCCCAGAGGGGTGGTAGAGAAGAGTGAGCATGCGCCAGAGGAAGATGATCTGAAAGCCTCCTGGGAAGCTGCTGCCCTTTGCGTAACTCCAGGGGGCGCTGTTCACATAGAATTTGTGGATGTTGTTTCCACGGTCACAGCATGCTTCATTTCTCGCTCTGGCCACCTTCCATGAGGGGTTTGATTCTATCTCTGGCCCTTGCTTGGGAGCCTCTCCTAGGGTAGGAAACCCCTAGGAGAAATGACCGCATTTTGGCAGGGGTAATACTGCAGGATTGAATGCCAGAAATGACCCTGCCACATTTCAACAGCTCCACTCATTCATGCCCCATGAAATCGCTGGAGTACCAAGTACAGAGTACTGAGTACTGTCTCCTCTGTCACTCACTTTGGGGCAGCCCTTCATAAACACTGCCACAGAGGATTGTTGCCTCCACACTAATGCTGGGATTGGGAATGGGCCACAACTCTAAACAGGAAATTGATTTTTGTTTCTACACAGCTGGTGCACATAGCCTTGAGATAATTTTAGGCAGTGTTGAAAATTTGTACATGATATCAAGTTTCCTGGTATTGAACCTTTAGCTTGAGGTATCATGTCAGTACTCAAAAAGTTTCTGAGGTGCTGGGAATGTGGCTTAGTGGTTGAGTGCTTGCCTCGCATGCATGAAGCCCTGGGTCTGATTCCTTAGTACCACAAAAAAAGAATAAGCCAGAAGTAGTGCTGTGATAGAGTGCTAGCCTTGAGTGCAGAGAGAGGCTCAGGGGCAGTGCTCAGGCCCTGAGTTCAAGCCCCAGGACTGGCAAAAAAAAAAAAGTTTCTAATTTTGGAGCAGTTTGCATTTGAGGATTAGAAATTTATAGCCTGTGTAAGTGGAGATATGGCTTAGGGGGTAAAGCACCAACTTTGAGTTAAAAAGCAAGTAAGAGGGTGAGGCCCTGAGAACAAGACATAGTACCATCACTCCTCCCCCCGCACACACACATACACATACACAAAACTGTTTTCATTTGAGACATTTACCCTTCTCTTCTCTCGGTTGATTTCTGGTATGGGTCATCATTCTCTTGTAAGACACAGCCATTCTATCTAGATCTCTAAGACTTCTGTTCTTCTTCCCCTAGGGTACAGCAATTAGAGGAAGAAAATACTGAGCTTAAAACAACAGTGACGCGGCTCAAGTCACAGACAGAGAAACTGGATGAGGTGAGAGGCAGGTCCCAGCAATGCTAGGTCATTGAGGCTTTTCTTTTAGTTTCTGAACGTCTGAAAATGCCATACCAACCAAATCAGAAGTATGTGAATAATGACTCATCTTTCTGAATTTCCAATTTTTCTGAATTTCCAAGTTTTCTATGGTGAATATATAATATATATGTAATATACATATATACAGTACAGAAGGAATAGATATACATATACACATGTATAACATACATATACATGTATGTTATATATGTATATTATATCTATTTCTTCTGTATGGGGAATTGCAGTCTTAAGAGAGAGCAAAAGGGGTTAGTTTCTATTTAGACTAACAACTTCTATTCAGTGACATCACTGAAGGATTTCAGAGGACTGAGATGTTTCTAGAATCATAGGGGACCTAGCTGTTTCTTCAGATCAGGACTTGGAGGGCTCTGTCCAAGGGGGCTGGGCTGCCTCTCCATCCGCCATACCCATGCCTAGTGTAATGCTTTCCTCTGGGAATTTATCCCTCCAACCGAGTCTCCCTGCTCCAGGAGCGGCAGCGCATGTCCGACCGGCTGGAAGACACCAGCCTGCGGCTCAAGGATGAGATGGATCTGTACAAGCGCATGATGGACAAGCTACGGCAGAACCGCCTGGAGTTCCAGAAAGAGCGGGAGGCGACACAGGAGGTGGGTCCCAGGCCTGGGGCCCCCAGGGCTGCCCTCAACATCGCCGCTCCCGCCAACCAGCCTGTCTCCCTCGCAGCTCATTGAGGACTTGCGTAAGGAGCTGGAGCACCTGCAGATGTACAAGCTGGACTGCGAGCGGCCGGGCAGGGGCCGCAGTGCATCTGGCCTGGGCGAGTTCAATGCCAGAGCCCGCGAGGTGGAACTTGAGCATGAGGTCAAACGGCTGAAGCAGGTGGGCCCCCAAAACTCACTGTTCGGAGGCTCTGATGAGGTGCCCAGGTCAGCTATGTGGGCTTGCTGCACAGAGGCCCCTGGGAGGAAGCCCGGAGCAGCTGCCTCCATGTTTTCCCTTCCCCTGTCCCATCTCCTCTCGTCAGCCTGATTGCAGGGCTGACCATCCAGGCCAAGCTTTTAACTCTGGCTGTGTCCAGTGGATCACAAGCTCTCTCCTGTGTGTCCATAAGAAGGCAGTCCTTTCCTTAATGCTAGGGGTGAAGATGAGACTCAACCAGCTGCAGATTCGAGACTGGCTGGGTTGGGTTCTCTTGGAAATAGCCCCCAAGCCTGAGGCCCCACTTCATATCGTTCCTGGAAGTACTCTGGAGTAAGGGATGGGATGAGGCAGCCAGGGAGTGCTGTCCAGGGAAGTCTCAGCTCAGCTCAGCTCGGCCCTGCTCTAGGCCAGAGGCAGCAGCACTCTGCCCTGAGGCAGAGGTGCTGGGAACCGTTCTCCTGCCAGGGATTCTAAAACAGCCTTTCCTCCATCCACAAGCAGCAGCATGGACCCAGGTGTGAGCCTTACAGGCCTGTAGGCAAGAGCTGGAGAACGGGGCTGGTGGACCCTGGAGTCAGCTATTCTCAAGAGCAGTGCTTCCAAACAGATCCTACTGAGCAGGGCTCCAGAACCTGGCTGAGGGAAGAGGCAAGGGTGCCAGCCCCCTCCAGGCGAGCCAAGCTCCTGACTGCTAACGTGACTCTGCTGAGCAGGGCTGTGACTACCCCCTCCAACACTGAACTCATGGGCACCCCTGTTCCTAGACCAGGCCCTAGTCTTTCCATCCCTGAGGCCTGGTAAAGGCCATGTCATCTACAGGCCCCTGCATTGGCCGTGACTCCCAGTGAAGGGGCTGAGGGCTGTTGGAGGTGGTGGGGTAGAAGTAGCTTCCAAAGGCTCTGATGCATTGCCTACACACTGTCTCTGCAGGAGAACCATAAGCTGCGGGATCAGAATGATGATTTGAATGGACAGATCCTGAGCCTCAGCCTCTACGAAGCAAAGAACCTCTTTGCTACTCAGACCAAAGCCCAGTCTCTGGCTGCAGAAATTGACACAGCCTCCAGAGATGAGGTAGCCACCGCCTCTCCCTCAGAGGGGAACCTGGTCCCCCACTCCTCACCTATGGGACCATGAGCCCCAAGCTGCTCAGAGCCCAAAAGCCAGACCAGGGCCTGGCCTGAGAGTCCACACCCACTACTACTGGAGGACAAGCAGAGCTGAGTGCGAGGTGGCATGCAGGGCAGGGCCTCAGCTTGAGTCCCTGCGGGAGCAGCCGCTTTGCACATAGTCCCTTAGCCTCATAGCTCTGGCGTTTTAGACACACTTCCACATTACAGACACAGGCTGTGGGGCGAGGGGTCCAGGGCTCCAGCACCAAAGCTGAGTCTGCCACAAAAGCCTGGTTTTATTTTCATGTGGTTTTATTTTATTTATTTTGCCAGTCCTGGAGCTTGAACTCAGGGCCTGGGCACTGTCCCTGAACTTCTTTGGCTCAAGGCTAGCATTCTACCACTTAAGCCATAGCACCACTTCTAGCCTTTTCTGTGTATGTGGTACTGAGGAATCAAACCCAAGGCTTCATGCATGCTAGGCAAGCACTCTACCACTAAGCCACATTCCCAGCCCCTCGTGGTTTGTGACTTGGAGCTTCTGGCCTCAAGGATGTCCGGGGAGCTGGCACTAACCTCAGGCCCAAGGCAGCAGGTCAGCTGCACTTACAGGACACAGCAAGAGTTCCCCAGAGAAGGGCAGAGCGGGGGTGGCTGGAGCCATTCTAGGCGGAGGGAAAGCTGGCAGCATCACAGTCATCCTGGCCCTGGGACTGTACACGTCAGTCCTAGTTATAAATGTCTTTGGCCAGTGTTTTCTGCCTTTATGAAAACTTCCCCCACCTGGCCTCCTCAGATTAAATACATTGCCTTAGACTCATGCCTTGGCCTCTTAAGTGCTGAGGTTAGTCTGCAGCCTGGTTCCCAGGGTCTCCTGGGCCCACTGGAAGCCCAGCGATCTGGGCTTCATTGCAGCCCAGCTGGGCTGACATCTGAACCTCCCTTGCTAGCATCTGACCCCCTTTCCTATTCCTTCAGCTAATGGAAGCCCTAAAGGAGCAGGAAGAGATCAACTTCCGACTGCGGCAGTACATGGACAAGATTATCCTGGCCATCCTGGACCACAACCCCTCCATCCTGGAGATCAAACACTGAGACAGGGAATGGCTGCAGGGCGGCCTTGGAACCGTAGGACCAAGGGGCAGGCCTGCCCCAGGATGCAAGCCAGGGCCCCACACTCACACTCACACTCCCCATGCTTTCTGCTGGAGCACGTGTGGGAGCTCATGCGTGGAAGCAAGGTGTGAGCATGGGGCCGTGGGTGGGCGTGCACTTGGTGGCTCCTCTGCAGGAGTCAGAAGGTCCTGGAACTGGGAGGTGCAAGGTGTGCTCTCAGGAATTGCTGTCACAGAAAGAACTGGAAGTGTGGATCACAGATACTGGATAAAATGACTACCTCTGAGCATCAGAATCAGAAAACACTCTAGGGAGTGTGTGGGGGGGGGGGTGTTTCTTCCCCTCCCCATAGGAGTTGTGAGCTGCTTCAGGAGTTTGGGTAACCTCTTTAGCCACCTTTCACTCCCAGGTGTTGAAGCTTAAAGAAGAGAAAGGGGTGCAGGTGTATGGGGTCCAGAGGATGCGGGTTTACGGAGTAGCTGGCATGAGCCATCCTCATTCAGTCGAGCCGTTGACATTTGTAGTTTTCTGTGTCCTCCCATCCTTGCGTACCTACCTCCGCTTCCAAGTCTGTTTTCGGTTCATCTTTATGACAGTAGGGGTAGAAGGATGGAGTAGAAGGGAAGGCCAAGAAGAAGGTGGGGCTGGGAAGTATCTGAAGCAGGTGCTGACACTGGGTAGCCCAAAAAGTGACTTCCCAAGAGGATCATGGCTCGCACAGCTGCATCTTGACACGTGCACAGCCAACCTGATGCATCCCGTCCCCACCGCCCCACATCACCAGCCCGGGCTCCACGCCACCTGGTGAGGGCAAGCCTTGCGATGGTCTCAAGCTTGGGCTCTGCTGCCAGGTAGCCAGGTCCCTTCACTCCAGCCTTAGGAGTATTGGCCTTTGGGCTGCACTGGTGGGGAGAGCTGCAGGCCACACTGCAGGGAAACCTCAGTCTTCCATCCTTCTGACCTGTGGTGACAATTCCCATGGAGACCCCTAATGGGATCTTTTCTGGGCAGCTGGGAGTAGACAGGGCACTGACCTGGGTTTTCCACTTCATCTCTGTTTTATATGGCTTCTCATTCTTCTCCTCACCCCAGAGCTCTATCAACATGTGCATTCTCATTTCCTCCCTTGCAGTTTCTTGTTTCCTCCGGCACCTCTAGTGTAAAATGGAAGGTTCAGGCACGTTGGGAGGGACAGAGTGGTGTTTGCAGAGTAGGGAGGGGCGGGAGAGGTGAGGAGGGGGGCAGGATGGAAGCTGGGCAGTCTTTCTTCCATTCCAGATGCTTGAGCTTTGGAGCTTGTGATTTCCTTTTAACCACATGGATGGGGGTTGTCTCATGCTTCAGAGAGTGGGTTGTGCTGGTCCGCTTAAGATGAGCTAAGCCACATGAAGACAATGAGGTAAAGGGTCTATTCTGGGGGCTCACTCAGGAAACTGTGGTGTTCTGCAGCTTCCCCCAGGGTCTGAGCAGATGTAGGCAGAGATGGAGGGTGGAGGAGTGGGGTCTTGAGAATCTGCCAGTAGGAAGGAATGGGAAAAGAATCATGGCAGGAGGTTGGTCTGGGTTATTTCTGAAGGCTACAGAGGCAGCCTAATCAGAGTCCTGCTCCTAGGGCTTTGCGCAGGCACCAGCATTTTCCGTGTCACCTTGTGGATGCTCTTTAGCTGTGCAGGAAGGGATTTCTGGAGAAGGCTGTAGAGGATGGAGTTACATAGAGACTCAGTATAGGAAAGAATTTCCACCGGGTGAACAGGGAACAGAAAAATTGTCTCCCTGTAGAAGGTTCCACTGAACAGACTTCTCCAGGAAACACCAAGTCCCTGTAGACTCAGGCAGGTGCCAGGGGGGCCTCTGGAAGATGGCCATTTCTTTTCTTTTCTCTTCTTCTTCTTCTTCTTTTTTTTTTTTTTGGTGGGTCATGGGGCATGAACTCTGGGCCTGGGCATGTCCCTCAGCTCTTCAGCTCAAGGCGAGTGCTCTACCACTTGAGCCACAGCATCATTTCCAGTTTTCTCAGTGGTTTATTAGAGATAAGAGTCTCACGGAGTTTCTTGGCAGGGCTGGCTTTGAACCATGATCCTCAGATCTCAGCCTCCCGAATAGTTAGGATTACAGGTGTGAGCCATCAATGTCCGGCTTAGAAGATGGGCTTTTAAATGAGGGGCTGAATTTCATGTAAGGTACATTTCAGGCTTAATCCAACTTCAGCCAGAATACATTCCTTATCAAACCTCAATCTTGGCTTTCTAAGACCATATATGTTTTGTAACTCACCTTCTTGGCTTGAAAGCTATCCTGATGGGCACAGATGGTCTGATGGTCCCAGATCTACTTCCTCCTTCCATTCCCCCATCCACACCATCAATCTAGAACTTTCTTTGGTGGGGAAGGAATCTGCTGGCCAGCTGTATTTTCTGACTCCCTGGCTCATTTCCAGTGAGGAGTTCTGCCCTGACCCCTCCATGTGAGTTCACTCGGTGGCAGACACATGGTGCACAGGTAGATTTGAAGATCAGAAGGACAACAACTGGAAACTTTCAGAATCAATATGTTCTTTGTAATACTTGGATCATATTTAAAATGAGCCTTTAAGACTTCCGGTTCCCAGACATTTTATAACTTCATTGGTGTGGGTGGGCCTCAGGCCTCCCAAATTGTAAGCATGCTCCAGAAGAGCCAGTTTGACTTCTGGGGGAGAGGGGTGGTTGGTTGGCTCTGTTATGTTTGCCAAACCTAACAACCCTACCAAGGGGTGAGGGGTGATCAGCAGTAACTTGCCTGAAGTTCAGCAGTGACTGTGGCTGGGGAACAGTGCACAGGTGGAGGTTCTGTAGAAGATTCACGTTTGCGTAACAGCTGTGCTTGCAGTGAGTAGGAAGCCAAATAAAATCAGCTGGGTTGGAACTCGGTGCTGTGCACATGCCAGGGAGCTGCTAAGCCACACTTGTAGCTTTAGAAACAACTGTGAATTGGCCAAAGTTAGACCTTACCTCAGTGGTTTTATTTTAATCTGTAGCTTTCTTTGGGACTCATCAGAGAAGAATTCCTTTTTCTTGATCTTATTTCTGACATCCTAAAACCACAAGAGTTCAGGACCCTTTTAGAGTCGTAGGACTGGAAACTGCTTTGTCACCACCTGGGGACAAATGTTCAATTGAGATAATAGGATTGATCTTCAGTGCTGGGTATTCATTGGGGTGTGGTTGGCTGGGCACTGAGATGTTCAAAGACCTCTCCAGGTGATGCTAATGACCAGCTCAAGGCTAGGACCTTTTCTGGGGAAAGCTGTTGGTCAGAGGTAGAGAAAACTGGTGGAGATATTGGCTGAGCTGCAGATACGGTAGATGGTGGCCTTTCCTGCTACCGTGCTGACAGGTAGTAAGCATTCGCCCTAGATGGAAGGCCTTCTGTCCTCCAATCTGGGGGATCTGCCACCTGGAGATCAGTAACTATGAGTGGGTAAGCAAGATGTCTGCTGACCCTTTGCAAAGAGCCTCAGAGGAGGCAGTGGTCTGCTTGCACAACCAAACGTGAGAGGTTCCTGACTTTGTGGGATTTGCCTGTTTTCTGACTGAACACATGAGGGAGCCCTAGTCCTTCCCTGTGGGTAGCCAGACCAGCACCTGGCTCAGGCTCCTGGAGGTGCTAATCCATTGACCAGTCTGAATCTTGGCCCAGCCTGATTCTGATGGTCCTGGAGGCATACATGGAGGCTGTGTTCCAGAGAGAGACTCAATACCTGGCCTGAGCCCACAGCAAGGCCTGGCAAAACGGGACATTCTCCTATTTGTGTTCTCTGTGTGTGGTGTATTGGCAAATCCATACCTAAGTTTAGTCATGATTGGAACGGGGGAAGTTTTGGAATGCACACTGTGCTACCAGGACCAGGTCACTGGGATGGGACTAGAAAGGTCTTGGTCTTGACAGGGAAAGAATTCAAGGATGGACACCGGAAACAGCAGGAAAAAAAGTTAATTACTACAAAGCCAAGGGAAAGTATGCTTTGGAGATGGGAGAGCAGACAGGCTTGAGAATGAGCAGCTGTTTTGAGGGTCCTTAGATTTTGACCTTTTCTTGGGGCTCACGGATACTGGAGTGATCACGAATACTGCCCACAGTCGGGCCGAGGGAGTTTTAGTCTTAGATGGCCCAACCAGGACTTGATCTGACTATTTTCCCGGGACTGCAGGGCCTTCTGGTCTGCAAGACACAGCTGCATGTCCTGAATAGTTCTGCCAGTGTCCACGGGCCAGGATTGGGTTTGGTCAACGTCCAGACCACTGTTTGTGACCCTCAGGTGCCTAACTCCCTATCTAACCCTACACCAAGCATGCCAAAAAGCAGCTTTGTTCACCAGAAGATTGGGGACTTTGTAGAAGGCTTCATGGGTTCTAGGTTGGAGAAGAGGGGTCTCCTCCAGTTTCCTTCCAAGTCCTCCCTTTGGGGCCCCCAGGTCTTCCCTTCTAAGATGGTTCTTTAGGCTGCTCTGACTGGGGTGCTCCAAAGGGGGCCTCAGAGGAGCCCTGTCCTCCCTGGGAGACCTCCTGGCCCGGATCTGCCTTGTGTGAATTTGGTGAAGGTGGGCACCACAGCCCGCCCTGTCTGCCTGGGAAAACAGATCTGTGGCCCACTGGAGAAAATAGTCGCTTTCTAGAAGCTTTTGTTGTTGAAACTGTAAGCTGGTGAAAGGCAATGCCAGCACACTTCCATGCCCTTGGTCCTCACCCCTTGCAGACTCCTCTATCCCTTGTGACTGTAATGTAGGAGGCACCAGCTGGGAATGGCATCTCGGGCCACCTCCTCTGTGGGTCCAAGTGCCACTGTCCCTGGGGTGACCCTGCCTCCTGCTGGGGCCACCTGCTTTGCTGTGCTGCACAGGCTGTTTTTTTGTCTGCATGGTTTGGGGTTCTTGTCTTTGTGCCTTTTCTTCCCTGTCACAGGATTCTCCCTGTTACAACCCCCCCCCTTTTCTACATCCTCCTGTCTGTAAATGTGTGCAAAACGTCTGGCTCTAGCCATGTGCCTGCACCGTGGACAGCCATACCTGCAGGCACGTTCACCCACAGATACCAGCCCTGCTTCCCCTTGGCCTCCCCTGTCCTGTAGACACAGTAGCTTTATACAGAATCTTTCCTTCTTGTCCGAAGTGCAGGGCGCCACCCCCCCCCCACCCTCACTTAGTCCCTCAGCTAGCCTGCAGCTAGTTTAGGAACCTTGCATCCCAGACAAGGGTAACTTTGTAAAGCAACCCCTTCCTCAAGCCTCTTCCTGTGCTGACGTGGGTATTTACAGAAGGCAGAGTGCACCTTGAACCTGGGACATTAACAGATAGGTGCATCACCCTGCCTGCCAGAGGAAGCCCTGACGATGTGGGTCCCATTGCTTGGCCATGGGTCCAGGTTTCAGACCACTGTGTCTAGAACAGACCCTGCCTGAGAGGAAGAGACTTCACTGCACTCCTGCCTGCTTCGATCATCTTGTCTGCCCAAGGTGCTCAGACCAGAGTGCCATTAAACACCACACTGGTGTCAGGACCACCATGGGACAGTGCGCCTTGAGGACTCAGCTTGCTGGCTCTGACCTTCTGGCTGTTTCTGCACAGAGGTTGAGTCTTCTGGGGCCCAAGTGTTTGTCAGATGGCTTCTGACTGTCTTGGGTTTTTGCCCCAGGAGCTTGCATCTGAAAAGGGACTTACCTGTAGGGATGGGGTGGGGCCACCACTTTTCAGGCCCCAGGGAGAAGAAAAGTGGGGTGAGGTCTCAAGGCTGAGTCCCAGGTCCTGAGCTCTGCGCCTCCAGCCTGCATCTCCCAAATGGAGCAGGTGGTCTGCGGCAGGCGCCTTCCAGGGAACTGTAATGTACAGACGAGGTGTAAATAAACAGTTGGTTTTTCTTGTCTGCCTGGCTGTGAGTTTCTGTGGTGGGGAAGGGGGTGGTAGAAGCAGGTCTGGGGCCTGGTTTGGGGTCCTTGTGCCATCTCTGTCTCAGGAAGAAAAGGCACAGTGTGCAGTAATAACTGGATAAATGATTCTCTGCCCCAGGGACAGGGTAACACAGGGGTCCACTCCAGCCCCTTGTTCTAGCCTGCTGTCCCTAGATATAAATCCCAGAAGCCCCTGCAGTGCTCCCATTCCAGCGGGGAGGTGAAGACTTTTGTCATCTCTGTAATCTTGCTCTTTCCCAGAGAAGGAGGGCCTCCAAGGGGCTAACAGTGCTCTGGGTCCATGTTTCCTCCATGTTGGCCATAGTGGCCCCAGGGTCACATACCCAAGTCCTCCATCAAGCCTGGTTTTGCTACCGAAGCTGAGCACTTCTACAGCATAGAGGACAAAAGTGGCCCTAGAGTTCTCTTTCCTTGTCAAGGGTCTCCCAGGCCCAGCCTTGTGTCCCAGACCTTCACTTCTCAACAGATCCACGCTGTCAAGTCTCCTAGGCGGGTAGACAGCTCCCTGCTCACTAGGTTTACCCACCTGGGCAGGGAGGGCCTGGAAAGCCCAGGAAAAATCTGTTTCCAGCCAACTGAACAGGCGTTGGTGTCATCAGTGACTCACAGGTGCCTGGTGAGGGCTCATGACGGTGAGTGGGACAGAAGCCCACCCTCACCCCCACAGGCAGCTTCCAGAATGTTCCAGGGAGGTTCTTAAACTCCAGCTAAATATTAAAATCACCTGGAGGAGTTTTAAAATCACTCCCATGAAGCTGCTAAGAGCATGCTTAGGAGTTGTCAAGTCCCCAGGTGACTCCATTGTCTAGCCCAAGGTTTGAGTAGCTGATATGGAAGAAGGGCGTTTGGCTCTGGATGAAACTTCAACTGAGCTGGCACGGAGGAGGAGAAGGGGGAGGAGGAAGAGGAGGAAAGACAGCAGTGCAGCAGTGGCGGGCCCAGGTAAGGAAAGCTGAGAGAGAACACACTGGCCTGGAACTGGAAGGATTGGGGGG